CCCCTTAGAGAGGCTAGAGAGAGAGATATATTCTATTTTAGAAACAGAAGAGAGAGTAAGTAAAAGGTGTAGAGACAAGGGACGAGAATGATCATTTTTATAGATTTTTCATGCACTTGCAAGTAGTCTTTTGATAATATAATAACTTCAAAAAAAAATAAAAAAAATAATAGGATCTCAAGAACTTGAAGCCATTCAAAACCTTTTTTTCAATAACAAAGAAAAGACACAACCTATGCTTGCGAATAAAAGACACAATAAATAAATATAAAAGAAACAAAAAAGGGTACCGGAGATTTTCTCAATCGGGCTTAGTATATACCTCACGCCGAATCTCCTCCTTCCAATAGTGCTCGGGACCTTTGATCGGTCTTTTGATTTCTCATTCTTTTGACAAACTCAATCAATGCACATGGATCTCGATTTAGAACGACCCACCTAAAGCCTCAATACCAAGGCCTAATTCAAGCCCCTTGGCTCGATCCTTATGAGAGATAGAAATCAAAAGAGAAGGGAGAAAACTATTAGCTATGGATGATCCAACTATTAACTAGGAATGATCCTTTTGTTGCCCACAAAATCACATAACCAAAGCCTAACTTGATTTAGAACCCATGAGAGAAATTCAAATTTAACCTAACCTAGCTTGGGCGTGCTCCATTTAGGATAGTTTATATGTGTGAGATAGGCTAAGGTGAGGCGTGGCCCCTTAGGTTTTTTAGAGAGAGAGGGTAACCTATGTGGTGTATGCTCTTATACCACTTGTGCGAGCGGAAGCAATATACCCGATGGGTTAATAATTGGTAAATAAAATATGAGAAATAAATCACGTAATACATATAACAAGAATATAAAGATTTACGTGGCTCACCCAAAAAGGCTACATCCACGGGTACGGCAAACAGAAATCCACTATTCCAATAAAAGTTACATCAAAGATTTTGGAGCAAACCTCGACCAAAAACCCCAAGTCGAGCAAACCCTTTTAAACAACTCTCCATTCATTCTCCTTACTTTTAGCAATATCGACAACACTAGATAGAGATGCGAGAGCAACGAGAAACTGATTTTTTCTCTAACTAAGAGGAGAACCACCCAAAATCTCAATGGGAACCGCTTTTCTACAAGAAACAAGCCTCTCAATCTTCGAGAGTCCAAAAGAAACACCATCACAATGTTTCTGTCCAAAGGAAGCTCTCTTTTTTATGAGGAAATCACATCTTATGCACAAGAGGCTCTACCTCTACCTTCCTCTCTCTCTAGAGGAACCACCATTCCCATATGGTGACCCAAATAGGCACACAAATTCCCTGCACTTTCATTCTATATATATAATTAAGAATTCATACAAAATAAGAAACTTCCTATTAATATAATATATATCTCAAAATACCAACATATATATCCATTAAAGAGTCCGAATCTTATTGGATTTCTATTTCTTTTAGAAACCTTACCAATATCAATATCAATATCAATCCCACAAATTATGGGAATATCTCAATTCCACAAAATATGGAAATATCTCAATCAATCCCACAAAATATGAGATTTCCTTATGTGGGTGATTTTGGATAGCACCAAATCCAACATGTGGGGAGTGCCCCTTAAAGAGGCTAGAGAGAGATTCTATTTTAGAGAGAGAAGAGAAAGCAAGTAAGAGGTATAGAGACAAGGGACGATAATGATCATTTTTATATATTTTTCATGCATTAGGGTTTGCCATAAAATCATAAGAGTAAATTTTGACCGTCAATCTAAAGAGACTGGTCAGGTAAGAGATGTGAGTTATCAATTCTCTAGATCCACCATCAAGATGCTAAATAAGGTGCTAGAACCTTGTCCTCACATTCCCAAACCTATTCCCATCAATAAGTTAAATAATGAAAATATTTATTTACTTTATCTAATAGTAAATATTCATTCCTTATTTTGAGTTTTAAGATTTTCTAAAACCACATATTTCATTTATTTATTGCAAGTAAGCTTATCTTCACAAAAAAAAAGCCAACTAACATGATATGCCTCTCATAATATTTAGCAAGAAAAGGCAATCCCCTATGGGTGGGGGTTGCCACCCTTTGGTGGCCACTCATGGGCCCGCCCAATTGTTTCATGTGATTTAAATGTGTCTCCAATCAAATTTTTAGAAGCAATAAAATATATTTTATCAGAAGATTCATAAAAATTCAAATAAATATTTTAAAGTCAAATAACATACAATTAATTAAATTAATTTAATTTTGATGGGAATTTGATCCCAATAGGTTTAGGATTTAATTAACGCATAGAAGCACTCCACCTTTAACTATGGACCACGATCCCCACTAGCTTTCTCAAACTAACCCAACAATTTTTATGACCGACAGTCTATTTAAGGGGCTCGTGATTGGACTGCCAACGTCAATCAATGGGCTAGGAGACGTAATACCAGTCTGTGGATTTCAGGTTCTCTCCTAAAGATAAACTATGATCTGCCAGACCATGATGCAACAATGACTCTATGGTGCATAGGGGTAATCTCTAGCACATATACATGCTTTACCCTCAATGGTGGATTACTATCTCAGTACGGCTATCTATGTACATGCCATGTGATGATACAACGGTGATGTTTTAGTTCTGCCTCTACAAACCATTCATCACACATAAGGGTTACACAGTCCATCGGTTCTCATCCAGGTATATTCCGACATCATCAAGGGCAAACACACTAAACCCTCTTCTGTTTGATTTCTATGCCCAAGTACCTTAGGTTTTCCAACTCAGCTGGCTAAACACGTCAACCATAGTATGAGTATCAACAAAATGCATTTGCCTAGTATAGTCCACAAGGGGACTACACTCCCTCCGAGTTTATTATTCATTTATTTAAATGTTTATACAATCTCTCTTAACGCCGTTAAAGGCCACATAAACCCAACAGTTCACATCAAGCATTTGGGAAACAGTTCAGATCAAGCATTTGGGGGTAGTTTGATATGTGGTATATTATGCATTTCGATTTGGTTTATGAAGCTTTTAACAAGTAATAGAAGATATTGCATGCATGTGAAACAGAGTGTGAAGGAGAATGAAAGAGAGGTAAATTTACAATGTAAGGGCTTGCTTGGATGTGATAATTTACTTTCTTAATAAAATTAATTTTGAGATTAATTATTTGTTGTTTATCAATGTTCATAATAAAATTATTCGAAACAAATCTATGGGCAGTTTTGTATTTTTAAAAAGCCATATTTACTTATCACAGTAGTTCGTTGAAAATCACATGTTTTCGGAAAAATATAGCTAAAAGTAGATGAAAAACGTAAAGAAATTAAATAAGTAAACAATATTATATATAATATAAGATAATATTATTCATAGTATCAAAATAACAACTAACAAACTTTTAGAAGGGTCTATATTCTAGATAAAATTAACTGTCGTCCAAACATACCCCAATGAAGCATCCGTGTAATTGTCGTTAGAGTCATTGCAACAGATAGGAAAATATTTATAGCACCACTAAAATCCTTCAAAACAAGGTTAAATTGATGTTACGAAAACATCTAATTGATCTTTTCAATATCGATATATATAAAGAAATAAATAAGAAATGTCAAGTCCTAAAAATAGTACGCCTTATAACATATTATTTGGACAGCTTATTTTCAAAATTTTCATGTATTTATTTATATACTTGATTTAAACCATTTTTTTGGAGATTAAATTTTTACAATTAAAGATAAAAAATAGATTCTTGCACTATCTTAAGAATTTTCAACAACAAAATTGCATGTCATGACCAAGTTTGCAGGTGCACCTTACTTTTATTGTTTAATGTTGCAACCTGATGCAAACCACTCCCAAATGTATATAACCATTTGCATAGGAGTATTTTTTACTTCTGAAAAATATTTGGCACGGTCCTGGCTGCACCCAAACCGTGTGAAACCGACCCCCTAGGCCTTAAGAATCATCACAAAGCATGATTGGGACCCAATACTATGGATAAATATTTTTGTTCTCAAAGATCAAGATCTTGAAAATATAGGATTTAAAGCCCGAAAAAGTGCATGGCTGTAACTACTATTTTAGCATCTTATCTGGATTGCTCATTTCAATTACTAGATCCATCAGATTTGTTCCATTTTATGAGCTCCCCCATCCAATTTCCAGGAAAAGAAATGGATTTATAGGTGTTTAGCAGGGGTTTTGAGTCCTCAATTAATGGAAAAACATGTGCTTTTAGGGAAAACACGCAAGATCTAATTGTTTTTCTAATTGCTCCTCAATCGATCAATCAATCTAATAATTGTTGTTCCATAAAAATAAAGAAACAAATAAATAAATAAAATTATATAAGGTGCCACCCTTATAATGTAGAAATGAGGCACACAAAAAAAATCCATAAAAAATATTTTTTGAATATTGAAAAATCCTCCAATCGCTTATTTTTACTGTATCCAAGGTGCATATTGCAACACATTAAAAGAACATTCGTTTTGAGTAGGTGTGCCTATGAAAATTAGGCACAGAGCGTTGTTCTTAAGAAATTTCCTACGTGTGAAAGCCCTCATTCACTACTTTGTTAACTTTGCTTCATGCCTATTTTTGACCTAGTTTATGTATTTTCTTGCAAACAACCGTGCTTAGGAATGCCCTTTGTTTTTCTTTTTTTAAGGTAATTCAGTGGAGAACACAGGCCTTACCCGATTTTTCAAATAGTTTGGAATTTAGTTTCTTGAAGATATTAGTGGGGTAGTGTTAGTTGAAATGTCAAATAATTTAGAATTTAATTTCTTTAATGTGCCAGAGGGATAGTGTTAGTTGAAATAAAAACCACATCGTGATGAAGCTACTACCACGACCCAGTCCCTTTCCCTATAAATGCCCTTTGTTACTCTCATCTCTAGTTGATATCGGGTAATGACACCACCTCATTGACATCTTCAAAAACTTAAATCCTAATGAATTATCCAAAAAACAAAATATCTAGTGCATATAAAGAGAGAGTATATCAACACATTTGACATTTAATATATTATTAAAGGGAAAAAAAAAGAGTGCTCATTGACATTTATAGAATTAGAGGGATATTACATATATTATTAGAGGGAGACAACATAATGTCATGAAAAAGATGGAGAAAGGGACTTCTCTACATTTATTGGGGGGGGGGCCTATTATAATTAGAAGAGCAGTCTCATATTTTGTTGATGGGGGTAAAACCGTAATTAACTCCCCATGTCTGGAAAGAGCCGTCCACAAAATTGTAGTAACCCCCATAAAGGGCAAGTGTTCCATTGGCCACCCCTTCTCTAACGAATGGGTAAGTGATCAGGTTCCCAAGTGAAACGTTCACCGCTTCCTAAAACATTATTAACAAACTAAATTAAACATTAAGGAACCCATTAACTAAGACAAAATTAATTACGAAATTATGTCTATAATTTTCCTTTTTTCTTAATTTTGAAATGATGTCCATAATTTATTTTTCTGAATGATTTACATACACATCTTAAAATTTTAGGTAAAATATGAAATGTTATTTTGAAATTACAAAGAATGTCCGTCAACCTATTTTTCTTTTTCAAAATTACCTTTCGGTCACAACCCGAATTTTGATTTTTTTTTATTTTTGTTTTTAGTTAGTAGGGCAGTACCTTAAAGCTCGAGCGTTGTACTAACATAAAAACTAAAAAAAAAAATAAATCAAAATTGAAGTCGAACAAGAGGCAATTTAAAAAAAAAAAAAAAAGTGAATTGATCGAGAATTTTTGCTTGTAAACAGAGCATTTTGTATGATTAGGGGAAGCTTACCACTTCACACTTGGAACATTGCTCGGCCGCTGGGAGACTGCCGTATTGAGATCTGACCTTGTTCTTAGCTGGAAGACATATCTTTACCCAATCCTCTATGAAGTCCCTGCATCGCCTCAAACACATCCAAATTAGAGGAGAGAGAGACTTTGGCTGTCATGGGAGAGTATAGCAGTGTTGTATGGAGATAGATGAACAGTATAGAGAGAGGAGAGAGAATGGAGTTGGGTTCCCATTAAAGAGAGAATAACAATGTTTTATGGAGAGAGAAAGTTTAGCAATGTTGTATGGAGAGAGAGAGTTGATTTAGGTTATCATGAGAGAGAGAGAGAGAGAAAGAGAGTTGATATAGGTTATCATGAGCGAGAGAGTATAGCAAAATTTCATGAAAGAGAGTTGACGAGCGTTAATGGAGAGAGAGAATTGATAGGGTTCTCATAAAGGAGAGGCTAAAGTAATGATTTCGAGGTACAAAAACAATTATGTGCATGTAAATGCGATGATGTTAAGAATGAAAATCCAAGTGTAGAGTACAAATCATCATTTACCCAAAAAACCACAAAAGGGGGAGAGGGATTTGCTTACGTGGTGGTGGAGCCATCGTCGTTGAGGGACATGAGCCCCTTAATTCCTCCACAACGGCTGTGCCCAACAACGATAATGTTTTCCACCTGCCCAAACATTTAACAAACACATATACATGTCCTCGCTCTAAAAGTATGACACATAAAAAGGAAAAACATCTTCTCCTTTAACTCCAAAGTTTCCTTCTTAATGCCGTAACTTTTTACAACGCTACTTTCACTTTGCAATGATGATTCCTCTCTCTCTCTCTCTCTCTCTCTCTCTACTTAACTTAAACTTACTTACTACAACGACTACCGTCGTCCTTCGAACCAAACTACTTCCTTACCGTAACGACTAAGTAAAAGGTAAAAAAAGTAGTACTTTACCTTTTCCC